TCACCCTCCCGCGGTACTCACCCTCCCGCGTTGCTCACCCTCCCGCGGTACTCACCCTCCCGCGGTACTCACCCTCCCGCGTTGCTCACCCTCCCGGCCGTTTTCGGGCGTGCCCCGAGAGGCATAAATTTTATATGTTAGGATGCGAGGGAGTGGTGGGTTCAGTAAGAGTGTGGTTGGAGAGGGTTTGATGTTGGCAAAGGTGTTGTCGTTTGTTGGTGACAAGTTGCATCTATCTCCGGCGTCTGGAGAGTTGTATCATGGTAGGGCGATATTGGTGGATGATGAGACGCAGAAGAATACGCCTGTGTCGTTCGTTACGTTGATGCCGGAGGCGTTTGCCGAGAGTGACGGAAAGGGTCCTCGGGTGTCTGTGACTAGCACGGAAATGTTTTGTATGGGGACTTCATCATTTGAGCGGCAAATATCAGACGAGCAATTATTTTACCAAGCAAAACGTATTTGGCTGGATGTAGGCGATAAGAATGCGGAGTTGTTGCACTTTATCGTGGATCGTGCAGTACTAGAGCTCGATGCTGATGCGCATGAGAGTGGTTATTTCAAGAACGATTCTGCTATTCCGAGGGCACATGAGGTTACTGATGCGCAAAAAGGTGCTCTGGCAGCTGACATTGCAACCCTGCAGTCACCTGATTTTGCCCGACGCATGCGATCGTACTACGTTGGTACCAGACTTCATGACTTCTTCTCCTGCCTCTTCGCACCCGGAAGTCCCGAACTAAAATCCAAGGACGATTTCATGAATCGGATACTACATCTCGCCGACATCAAACTCAGTCGACTTCCCTGCACATGGCTCGCTGGCTCCCCCTACTACCAGTACGGCAAGACATCCACTAGCCCTGTCAAAAAATCAGATGACTCCAAACTACCGGAAGACCACAAGCACTTCTTCGGCGTAGGCACCGCACACCTCGGCGGAGCCATAGACGACCAAACCGGCAAGATCGCAGTCCCTGGTAATGAGAAGTGATGACGGAGTGGCACGGCGGAGTGCGACGCTGGAGTTGACTGGGGCATTCAAGTTGGTTGGTGCACTTTATCTTGGGAGTGCGGATTCAGTTTTTTTGATGGCCTGATCCATGACGGAGAGGAGCTTAATTGTTCCTGCCGATGTCCCGCGGGGGCTGCCTGATGATCCGGTGGTCGACACCTACAGCCCTTTTTTAGAAGAGCAAATTCCACACAGGCTCGTCGTACTGAATGTGAGTGAAGATCTCGCTACAACAGAGAACGTGGGTAGGTGAGAAGGTGGGTGGGTGGGTGGGTGAGAAGGTGGGTAGGGAACATGAGTGGGGATGGAAGTGGTGAGGAGCATATTTTTGCAAGCGCCGCGTCCGAGCAGGTTTGTGTACAAAGTAGTGTGCACAGTCGTCTCCGCATGTGTGTTGATGTATTCAGACCCTTTGGAGGTCTCTAATCCTCCCCTCCCGTTTTCTGTTCTGCCTTGGATAATTAGTTTTTGGATGGGCAATCTTCGTGAAAATGCGTGGCAGTTGTGGGTTCGGTAAGAGTGTGGTTGGGGAGGGTTTAGTGTTGGCAAGGGTGCTGTCATTTGTTGATGATAAGTTGCATCTATCTCCGGCGTCTGGAGAGTTGTATCACAGCGCATGTATCTTGGTGGATGACGACACGAAGGAGAGCACGCCCGTGTCGTTTGTTGTCTTGATGCCTGAGGCGTTTGCCGAGAGTGACGGAGTGGGTCTTAGGGAGTCTGTGACTAGCACGGATATGCTTCGTATGGAGACTTCATCATTTGAGCGGAAGGTATCGGAGGAGCAATTATTTTACCAAGCTAAACGTATTTGGCTGGATGTAGGCGATAAGAATACGGAGTTGTTGCACTTTATCGTGGATCGTGCAGTACTAGAGCTCGATGCTGATGCGCATGAGAGTGGTTATTTCAAACGTAATTCTGCGATTCCGAGGGCACATGAGGTTACTGGTGCGCAAAAGGGTGCTCTGGCAGCTGACATTGCAACCCTGCAGTCACCTGATTTTGCCCGACGCATGCGATCGTACTACGTTGGTACCAGACTTCATGACTTCTTCTCCTGCCTCTTCGCACCCGGAAATCCCGAGCCAAAGTCCAAGGACGATTTCATGAATCGGATACTACATCTCACGGACATCAAACTCAGTCGACTTCCCTGCACATGGCTCGCTGGCTCCCCCTACTACCAGTACGGAATGACATCCACTAGCCCTGTCAAAAAATCAGATGGCTCCAAACTACCGGAAGACCACAAGCACTTCTTCGGCGTAGGCACCGCACACCTCGGCGGAGCCATAGACGACCAAACCGGCAAGATCGCTGTCCCTGGCAATGCGAAGTGATGACGGAGTGGCACAACACACCGTAACGGAGTGGCACAACACACCGTAACGGAGTGGCACAACACACCGTAACAGACCACTTTAATTTTCTGACCGAGACGGACTGCACTTTTCCGTCTCCGTGTCCAATTAAACCTTAATAAAAATTTAGGTAGATCTGTTGTCAACTTTTGCAATCAAAGACAACTGTGGGTAGAAGAATTCTGCCAACGCCTGGTCAACAAATGGGTTGTCCAAACGAATCTAAATAGGAAGGTGATTGTCTGGGTGTTAGAATCGGGGAAGTAGATTGTCTGGGTGTTAGAATCGGGGAAGTAGATTGTCTGGAAGAAAGTGAGTGTTAAGACGGGCGGGCGTACGTCAATAATGCGGTCCTGGATTTCTTGTAGAGCCTTATTCACGCTTTCCACTTCAATCTCTCGCGTATCGACTAGCGCTTCAATCAATGCGATGATCATACCCCATTCTTCCTTCCTCCGTTCCATTGTATAAATTATTGCTTTGCGCAGTGCCTGGATTTCCTGGTCTGGTGTCATCTCGAGTCGCTGGATGTTATTAATGGCCATCTCAATGTCTCCAGTGTTCAGGAAGTCGTACACAATTTCTTTGAGCTACGGGGGAGGGGAACGTACAGGGG